CACGTATTTCTGATCTTCGATCCAGCTATACAAGTCACTTCCAACTACACGCCAATCGCGGACGCCTTGAATATGGTACTGTGTTTCTGTTTTATTTTTCGGAATTTAGTTCTGACATCCTCTAGTGAGATGCCAGATAAAAAAGATTTTAGCAACGGAATGGAGGCCATCGGCAGCCTTGCCAACTTTGTTAGCATCTGCATGCAATCACACGAATCACTCGCAACTACTTCTAGCTCACATTCAAAATGGATGTGGAAAGGATTTTGCTAGGCTTGGCTCAAATGTAGTTTTATTTTCTGTTTATCAAAAAATCATGCGAGCAATTAGTGTGCCCAACTTTTCTTGAGTCTTGAAATTGTCCCGCAAGTACTAGTTCATAACAAATTAAAATTATAAGTGGAAAAAAGGGGAAAAATAACAAAATAGGGGTTCATTTGGTCTTTTTTTTGCAGGGTGCAGGCTTTATTGAATGGGAAACAGTGGACCAAGAAAATCCAGATGTGCAAAAGCTGTATCCATTAGTGCAGAACACAACGGTAAACATATTTGCAATTTCTTTTCACTGTGATATGCCGGTGTCTTTCTCAGGTCATCGTCGGCTAAGGGGAAATTCCAAAATGTAGAATCAACTTTCACACCGCTTAATCTCCCAAGTCGGAGATCATGCAGAATTTAAATCCACAGCTGGGCATCATTTTATCGGTCTCAATCGTAGTATGCAGCGCTGTGCGACACTAAATTTTTCCTATGAATAGGGCATACCATTATCTGATAAATAGACTGGGAACCATCACGACGAGGTGGATGGGACTCTGGCATGTTTTGCGCCACCAGCCATTGTAATAAAGATATTAATTATGATTGATATATATAATAGTAAAAAATTGAGTGAACAGGAACGTTTCGGTCCATCAACTCGTAGAAATTCCTAATCAGCTGGACGTCATCAGTATGACGGTTGTATTGTGTTTAAATTAATAAAGAAATGAAATGAATTTGTATAAGAAAACGGATTTTAGCTTCAAGCGATAAAACGGGGTCAAATTTGAAAAATAATTGCAAAAAAAGCAAAGAGCAGGGATCAACCGGCCACTCCAGAGGAATTTTGAGGAGCATTAGTATCTGTAAACAGTCGCAATAATAATTTTATGAATTTAAATGTACGTAAATAAATATAGCAATAATTTTATATTATGGCATAAAACCTGTGTAGAAAAAATTAGAGATGGCAATCGTCCATTTCCAGTGTTTTGTGATGGAGATAACAAACTCATCAATGCGCATCTTCAATATCTTTGACACAGTAAATATGACGGAGATGTAACTTATGATATATATAAAAATATAGCATCAAATTTTTCTTAAAGAGCGAGTATTTCTCTATTTTAAAATTCATGTTTCGAGACGAAATTTTGGTTCAGTATCTGCGTGTTTGTGCATGGATTTATTGAAAGTTCCATTCGTTAACAGATCATGCTGGCAGTTGTTTGGCCGGATTGGCATGTTGCATTCCCAGACTTCTTCAATGAACTTACCGTAGAATGGTGGATTGAGCAATTCAAGAAGTTGCACAATGAACAGGTTTTTTGACATTATTACTATTACTATCACTAATTTAATTAATATTTCGCATCAGTTGGCCAAATTTATGCAGTTTACTTGAAATTAATAGAGTTACCTTGGACGTTTCTAGTAGCAAGAGTGATTTGTAATTTTCAGTTTATTAACTTGCTGACGCATGGTTGCTCTTGACATTTGCTACCCTTGGATACTTCGGAGTGCTTCCACCACTGGGGGATTTTGAAACTAAAGGATTTTGTTTTTCGACTTCAAATTTGTAAATTTGAAATAAATTTCATTTAGAGTTATGGCGAGAA